AACGAGTTATCAAATGTTGGAAGTTTTATCATTTTGCAATCGGGAGAGCGTGTAACCTCCTTCACTAAAGGTAACAGTGCTAACGTTTCTAGTGAAAAATGGTAAAATGAAGCTTTCCGGGGAGTCTATATTTTGAGAATACGCGAAAAAACTTTAAGTCAAATCTCGTACTCGTAGTCGTTCTCGCCTTGAATCTAAAGGTCTCTATTGACTCAGAGCCCATTCGGGCTCGAGGAATAATTGTTAATTAGAAGTTTTATCATTTTGACATCGGGGGAGGCTTAACCTCCTTCAGTGTAAATAACTGCACTAACTTTTTTGGTGAAAAAAAAAGTAAAATGAAGCTTTCCGGGATGTCTTTTTTTGGAGAACACGCCCAAAAACTTAAAGTTTAAATCCCAAAGTACTGGGTTTTACTGCGCAGGTTTGCACAAGCTGTAACATGTCCTGAATAACTTACTTGGCTTTTTACGGCAGAAACAACATTTTCCAGGTTCGTCAACAAGCTCCTCCCCCTAAAATAGGTAAGATAATAAAATCACTACTCACGTGGCTGAGTAATGGGACCCTATGATAAGCCAATTTTTTCGATCCTAAAGGACTACCCCCCAAAATCTTGACTCTTAATGAGGTGGCCTGGTTCTCAGGAAGGCGTTTGAGCGAACTCAAGGATTCCTGAGAAGTAGGAATTCTATAAAGAGAAGACCTCTATGACAGACTCGAGTGTGTGCCTTTTGTGAGATGGGAGAGGAGGTAGGAATTTTAGATAAGACTGTAAAAGTGCTATCAAAATTTTTTCCAAGCTTGCTCTTAACACTTCACGAATTTTCCTTTGTTTAATGTCATTTTTATCAAAGAATTGGTCAGAATCCATTCCAGATTACTTACCGTTGGACAGGACTTGATATTGCAAGATTGAGCACATACAACTGAATCCCCAAGGCACATACAGGAGTTACACGTACCATTTTCAAACTTTCCGCCGGTCTAACAATAACAACACGAACAAAACATTTACATTGCGACAGGTACTTGGTACTCAGTAATGTTAACTTTTCTCGGAAAAAATTGCGTGCAAAAGTTACTCATTTCTTCCCATGGGGACAATTTCTTCTGCACTCAGTGTAATGTTTCAGCCCTGTTTGAGAATTGTATTTTAACGCAGGGAAACAATGAGTTTAATTTACCATTATAGTTAAGCAATAAGAGCAACCAGAACCAAAAAAATGTCCAAAAAAAGACATCATTGATAAATTCTACTTGTTTGAAGTTATCCAACCAATAGACCTTTTTAGTTTGTATGTTTTGTTTTCCCAATTCAGACCACCAGATGTACTCCAGGAAATTTACCTTTTCTCTTTTCATATTCAAGGGGTTTAAATATGAAATGTTCATAAATTTTATAATTGATTTCTGAGCACTTTGTCACCCACTTCATCATTTTCAGCCACACACAGTTGTTGTTGTCCTTATTGGGAAAACAAGGGAAAGTTGATTAACGACACGTATTTTGCAAAAGGAGATAACAAACAATGGACTTCCCAAATGAAAAAAAATCCCTTTTTTGTCTATCAACTATCTTTAAACTTTAAAAAAGAACGACAAAATAATGGTTTTCCCAAATTTATGTTCTCAGATTTAGACTAAAAAGTGAATGGGGCTGTCATGGACAATCAAATATTGTTGAATGTTACCTTATAGAAAGTGTTATTGTGATAACAAGGGCACTCCAACACTGGTGACACCCATCTACTGTTGAGTAACACAAGACTGGGGGGACACTTCCAGCCTGGGCTGCAGTTTTCACTTGTACAGGGAATAATTGTGTCCTCTGACAGATCTGCGCATGTCTTACTACAGGTGCAATTACTCCACACGCAACCAAAAGGAGCTGGAAATGAAATTACTAACTAAATTTGTCATCTTATACAATAGATAGTGAGAGGAATTACTGAATGAGAAAAACCCTTCATGTATAGTCAAGGAGTTCATTAAATTCATCAATGTAATACTTCAAGTGTTGCTAAGTTGTGTCCCAGATTATTGATCTACTTTCGGACTGTTAGAAGGGCAGAAATCTAACTTAAATTTTCTTTATTTAGTGCCAGTGTACTTTTGAGAAATTAGTAGTTATAGTTTTGTTGGCTCGAATACGTCTTTCACACGAGCCTTTGCAAATTACGTGATTAGTAGAAAAGGATGTTCCCCATAACCCTGTACAGAAGACGTTGAAACAACATTTTAAGGCCGCCCTTGATAAATAAAACATTTCAGTATTTTGGTATTTTACTATTAATAGTAAACTTAGAGGGCAAAGGGGGAAAGGATTTTGAATAAACAATATTTGGAGTATTTGTATCCCTCTACACTGTCATTATTTTCCAGTCCAATTTTTAAAGAAACATAGTTTTCATACCTTTAGTGGTATTTGGGAGTCTTGCTGGCTGATTTGACGTGAACGATTCAGGAGTGGCACTTGCTAAGGTCGTGGACTCATTTGCGGCAACAAACGCTGATGGCGTAGTTGATGCTCTTGTCGCTTTTTCTTGTGTCGTTGTTTGCGTTGATGGAGCTGTAACAGTATTTTTGGTTGCAGTATTCTTGTTGCTGTAAGACAGTTTTGATGATTTTGTCGTCGATTCTTTTTTAGGGGTCGCGATTGTTATATTGGACATGCCTGTGGGTTTATTTACAGCAAGTGATGTTGATGAACCTGTGGTTGTAGTGGGCTTTTGAGCAGATGATCTTGGTGTTGACGAAGTTGATGGTTGCTCCTTGTAAGGAGACGTTGCTCTTGTTGCATTTGATGTTGTTATGGACACATTGTGTGTCGTGGAACCATTTGTGGAATAACTTTTTGAAAAGGTGGTCATCGTCGATGTTTTTTTTGGTTGCCTTGTTGAAAGTTTTATCTGTGCTTTGTTTCCCGATGTCGTTTCTTCATATGATCTTGTCGGAGGCATTCCCATCGCTGTAAAGAAGAGTGAAATATTTATAAGCTCTTTTAATATAGGTAGAGTAACTTATTGAGGTCCGGACTATATTGTAGGCTAACTGCTCAAACATGGAATGAGCTTGATGTATTCTTGTTTAAGGCACACGAATTAAAAAAAGCCTTCGAATCAAATTTTACTGCTATTCTGGTGTGTTCTCTCACGGGCATATACGCTGTCTGACAGAATAGTTAAAACATCAGAAATCTATTGATATAGGATCTTGCAGTTAATTTTCCAAGACGGCTTTAAAATATTTTTCGAGTTATTTCCGTCTGTAGATAATTTGAAGGTCATTCTTACACACTTACTTTTATTTAGTTCACACCTGCAGCATTCATCTTGTCTATCTGGAATAACAAGTTTGAATCCCTGCGCACAATCAAATAAAATTTGCAAAAAGAGAAGTTAAAAGTCTAATATAGGTAAAGTTTAGAAGATCCTGCTTTAAAAGAAAACGAAACACTATCGGTATTTCTCAAGACACCCCTAATGATACAAGTGGAAAAATAACGTAAAGTAAAGTAAAACTTCTCAAGACATTCAATACGAATACCGCTAATTTTAGCTAGTCCCGCCGCCACTCTGCTTTACTGAAAAATCAATTCCGCCAATCCCTAAACCACAATGGCTTCTGAAAACAATAATTTCACTTGTAACAATGTTTACAAAGGTAAATAACCAGTGGTTTATATTTTCGCGTTAATGCACTGCATTGAAAAAGCATACTTCCACAAAAGATTTACCTGTGAACATGTCTGCGTACACGTGCGCTGGCAGAAGAGGTCCGATTGGTCAAGAGTGTGGGGTGTTCGCCGACATGTGCACACTTGACAATCGCGCTGGATGCGCGTGTCAACCTAGACAACGGAAAGAAGCAAAAATATGTCAAGGAATCGTTACATACACTTTCATACACGGAGTTTATTCATATATAGTTAGTAGAGGAGACTGGTTTTGAAAGCCGTCAAACATCAAAGTTGAAGACAACGGTGCTGTAGTTTATGTCGGAAGCTCCAGTGTCTCTAAGATTATAGATAAACGGTCGTACGGTTAATAGTTCTTTTAAATGACAAGGAAAATTAGTGTGATGTAGAGTAGATAAATACGTAATATATCTAAAACAAGTTCGAGGGTCTCATCAGGGGTTCCAAACACCGAGAAACAAAGCACTCGGCCTGCGGCCTCGTGCTTTTATTGTTTCGAGGTCCAAAAAGGCTAACAGATAGAAACCCGAAGCATGAGATTTTTAGATGACTTCTCAAACGAAACGATAAAAAAATATGCAGTGATACTTTTTTGCTATTGTCCTCCCCAAATGAAAGAACAATAATTTATGCAGCGATGCAATCTTCCCATATCACGTAACATTACTTCAGCATGCATGATTAATTGTGTTGGTATAGTTGGTGTCTGACCATAAGTGAAGACGGCGAGGCAAGATTTAGGGAGTCGAAAACGGTTTACAGAGAACGCGAGATAGTTGAAAAAGCTATTTCCTCGTCAACCAAATATAAGAACAAATAAGCAGTAATAATTTTTGGCGAATGGCAAATTTCGCGGTGGGTTATACCTCCCGTTTTAGATCTAGGAGGGCTTTTTAAAGGCTATGATTTACTCTAGGACGCACAACTTTCTACCAGCATTGAAGAAATGGATGCAACAACCTTGAATTACTGGCTTAGCAAGTTTGTGATGGAGGTGGCCAAGAAGTCGGGGAGGTATATCCACCGAGGACCGTTTATGGAATAGTTTGTGGTATCCAATGCTATCAAAGTCAATTATATCAAATAATATTCAGTTCATTTTTGGAATTGTTGTTAACAATGTATAATTATTGAAAAATGCTGATTACAACGCAAGTGGTTGATCTGAGATCAAAACCATGTTTGATCTCAGATCAAAACCCATAAGATTTTCAACTGAATGTTTATTGGGTATCAAGGTTCATACATGTGACCCAAATATGCCTCTTTTGTCGGCTTTTGCCCTCATGAATGATTAATGATTTTGAGAAATATATATAACATACTTTTCATTAAATTCTTTGATTGTAAACGCAAGGTGGTTTCAGCCACACTTATCTATGTCTAATCTTTATCCTGATACATATTAATCATGTTTCATTTCATTTAATGAAAGAAATAGTTGATGATATTATTCAAGCCATATTACCCGGAGTCTCAGTCCTTTGTATTCGCATCGTTTGATACATGGTGGAGGCATGGGAACTACGCATTTTGTTTGATGCATGATTGTGCCTTTTCTGCACGAACAATATGAACACGATCCACTGAACGGGCAAACAATCATCCCATTACAATTCATGAAGCAGGTACATTCATCTGCACATTCTAAGGAATAAAAAACAACACACGATATGAATCAATCTGTGACTATAAAGACCTCTATAAAGCGCAATGTATCGTGTACCTTGTTTTGCAATGCGATTCTTCTGACATGAGGAAGCTATACAAGTATCTTATCCAGCCACTTCAGCGTTTTTTTTTTCTTTTAGTCTTTATTGAATATACAAGTATAAATACATACCTGTATTTTCATGTTTAATATTATTAGTTAAAAAGTAAAAGTATATTTAAAATACATTCTGTTAATAAAACTAGCTTTAAAACGTTCCGTATTAACACAGGGTAGTAGGCTCGTCTGAGTTCTCAGACGTTTTGGAGATTATTTAACTCTGGGCCGCAAATTATACAGCGGATGATTAGGTAGGCAACTACCGGTAATCTACTTGGAGATTGACCTGTCTGTTTTTTCAAGCAAATTGTACATATCTATAGCATAAGATATAAAACAGCGTTCATGACATCTGCGAAGGAACTGCTGCGAAGTATTAAGTTCAGGCACGGAGGTTGCATACACCGGTAAACCATGCGACATTTTAGGTAAAACTAAAGACTGAAACAAATGATCAATTTCCACTTGGTTATATCCTTCCTTCCTTAAGCTCCTTAACACGTAGAGGCATTTATTCGCTTCGAAAAGTTTCGTTTAATGTGTTCTGTAAATCTGCCATTGCCCTGGAAAATCGCTCCAAACAGTAATAGATATTCGGCCTGCTCTATATTACCAGTAGGAACAGTATTATTAAGTTATGAAAATCTATTTGTGCAGATTGTTTCGCATAAACATCCCCTGACGACTCGCTATAATGGCAATGTCCCTTTAAGCTCGAGACAAACTGTAGGAAGCTCGTTCCTTCTCTATGTATGAGCACAGCCAGATTTCAACGCCGATACCACATTGTTTGGTCTTCTTCTAGCTTAAAACAATCCACCCATTTCGGGATGTGCGAAGAGACCAGAGCTTTCCAGGAGCAACAAGGCGAAAGAAAATCTCTCTTCAAAAATGAATCTGAGTGGAAGAACATGACTCGTGTCCGTGTTCTTGCGCAAAGAACTTGAAAAAGTTCCAAATTCTTCTTCGTGTGACTTACCTTTGCAAGCGTAAATTTACAGCGGTTACCACTAACACTTGCCCTCGAATGGTTTTTCTCTCTGGTGAAACCTGCGTTTTCGTGGACGTCAAACATGGTTTTCTCACGTGCTCTGACCGAGAAGGTTCCCTCGTCGCTGAATGAAGGGGGAAGACTTACCAGAATAATTTCGAATGACGACCTGCTTTTTAATTTTATTTATTTCATTAAGATGAAGGATTACATTGTTAAAACAACAAGATCTCTGCGAGCTGAGTGAAATGGCCGATAAACCCTCTTCAGTTAACGTAAAGGTTTTCAGGTTGTCTAATTATTTGATTGTATGGAGCCGTGGACGAATTGCCAAGGAGCATAAATTCAAAGAAACGAAAGGTATAACACCGACGAGGGACAAAGGTTTCCTCCGAACGGAGGTTGTGTTCGAAAATGAATTTTGTAACCTGCAGATCTACTTATCATTCTTCATGTTATCGAATAGAATCCTGAACTAGCAAGAACTCAGACGAGTTGCGAGCGTGTATTGAGAAAGCTTATATGGTTGTAATTTACAGTGTTTCCTCCGACAAACACTCAACAAATTCGTACTCCTCGTAATATTGACATGAAGCGGTGTCAGATCCTGTAGAAAAATATTGCAAAACGACTTAAACGACGATATTTTCCTCCGAGTGCTCGAGAAACGGGGAAAGAATACAACCTCATTTCCAGGTTCTCTCTCCTAACCGTCGCTCGGCAGGGACGGGTAGGAGAGAACCCTGGGAACGAAGTTGGGAAAGAATCTTCTCTTGGCCAACGCGTAAAAACCATGGTAACGGTTGATTGACACCCACCAAACCGTAGGTTAGAACCAAAGGAAAAACCCTTTGAGGGCGCGTGTTAGTGGTAACCACCGTAAGCTACACAACATTTTGTATTCAGTGTTTTTTTTTTTTACCGTCGGAGTCCTTTGGATTTAGTCTAAGTTTTTAAACTAAGTATGAATCGTTTCATTCCGGCAGGTCCGAAAATCTTATGGTTGGGAGACCTACCGAAATCGTTGGCCGGGTTCTCTGCCAAAATATGTTGGGATTGTATGTAAGGGCAAATCGCTCGCTAAGCGCTTATGTACGGTAAAACGAGGATCACCTGTTTGAGTACTTTATTCATGGCAGCCACACCTACGTTCGTCTACAGCAGCTCCAATTTAACCTCTAAGAATTTTAAAAATAGCTAAAATGTAGGTACTTTCAGGTTCGCTGACCACAAGAGTTTTAAAAAAACGCACTTCCTTTCGTGACTTTAATGCACGTTTTATTGTGCATTAAAGTGGTTGAAAACAAACTTATAAGGTTAATCATGTTAAGTAGAAGAAAAACCAATTTTAAGCTTTAAAAAGCTTGACAACTAAGCCCTCATGGCACTTCCTTAAACCAAAACAGGAACTCCGATGCAAGCAAAACCCAAGGTCAATTGTGATTCCAAAGATGCCCACTTCAGGGACTGACTTTTGAATTTAATTACGGCACAGATAAATGACACTTAAGTTGTTTACCCGTCGACAAAAATACGGATTAACCTTGATTTACAAACAGGTAAGAGAGCAAATTCAAGAACAAACATAAAACAACTAAATACCGCATGACAAAAATCTTCAAAATAACGTAAAAAATACTCCACAACACTTGTACGGGAGAAAACCCACACACAGCTAGTATTAAGGGCGTTGCGTTTAGACAGAAATGTTATCGTCTTCAAGTAAAAAATAAATGTTCCTTACCTGAGGCAATAGGAAGCATTGTTGTTCGCATGGGTGTTGTAGGAGAGGTCATTACATCGCCAGCCCCTGGTGGAGATATTTTCGTAGTCAACGGACCAAGATGTGACGTATGAGCCAAGGATGTCTGGGTTCCCGGTGTCTTTGAATTATTTTTCGTTGGTGATAGTGAAGTCGTTGAACTTGTTGTGTGCGTTGGTGCTTTTGATCCATGCGTGGATAGGGTAATGTTTTTGGGTGCCTTAGTTGCTGACATACTACCGCCAGTAACCCCGGATGACGCGGTGGTATTTGCCTGTGGTATTGTTGTAATTGCTGAGGTTGGACAACTTTCTTCGTCTTCACCTTGAGAACAATCTTGATAGCCATCGCAAAGAGATCTATAGATATATTTATTAGACAACCTTGTATAAATGCTCATAATGTATCTACCTTCCATGTCACATATTTTTATTATTGAAACGTGGATGGGAAATATGAACAGAGAACAGCGATGAATTAAGCGCGATATTACAAACATTTTCCAGAATTGAGGCTTAGGATGACTGAGACAATCTCGAAAAGAAAGAATGAGCTACATTCCGGCTGTTACCCTTGAAATCACCTCACTATAAATGTTTTAGGGCATTTCCAACCACCACTTACATGGGTGAAGATGTCATACGTGGCTCAAAATTACCAAAAGACAGGAACGAAAGTAGGAGTGGTAAAACACTAATAAAAAGCTATACAACTGAAAACATTTTCACGGTTGGGCTTCCAACAAAAAGGCACCATATTGTGCTACTTAGATACTGAGTTTAAGGCTGTTTGTAAGCATATCCGGCGATGATACTGACCTGAAAGATATACACGTACTGTTGTTGCACCGGAATTCGTTGCAAGTTGTTACACAATGTAACTCATCTGAGTCATCCCCGCAATCATCATCGCCATCGCACAACAGACTCTGTTTAATGCACTGGCCGTTCTTACATCTGTCATTTGACCATGCAATTATAGTTAATATCAATAGTAACTAAGCGATTTACGCAGTATCATATTCGTTTCTTTTTATCAAATTCAAATTCAATGAACACTGTCTATATGCTCGGTGGTGATCCGTAACTGAGACGCGGATCACAGTCGTTATATTTCTCAAAAGAGAACGTGTGAGCTTTGTGGCTCTAATACTACAAATGGAGTCAGTCTTCTTAAGGCTCGGGCTTTATTTTATACATCCACTAATTATAAAGGTTGGTTGTGAAATTTTTCAGTACAATGATCTTAACTACCAGTAATCGCTTCAACTTATTTGTCGATTTTAATAGTGCAAATAATGAACCAAATAAAAGGGTTATTAACATCTTCTTGGGGTGGATCACTTTCCAGCATCGATAGTAGCTACTAAAAATAAATGGCTAATACGGAGTGTTCTAGCAAAGAGCCATCGATTTCACAAATGGCTCCTACTGAAGATAGAGACTTTTATGAATAACTCTATAATGCTTACTAACCTAAATTCCGAACAAATTGGAGTTATCAATACAGTCGGTGTGAATGGGATAGGAGATACTGCTGCGCAACCGTAAACCTCTATCCGTAGGCATACTCCTAGGTACCACTGTTGTGCATGCACACGGATATACTGAGCAAGAATTGGTTGGCGTAACTTGTTAGTTACAACTGTGGATTGGTTAGTGTTGCCTTGAAATACCTGCAGGACAAAAAGATAGGCCATTCTAAGCAGAGCCTCCCCTTTCATACAACTTTTAATAAAAATAAAAAAATAGTCTAACCTGCCCTAAAAAGGTGGGTCTAAAGTTTCCTTTTAAAATTAGTTTATGATTGAATATCACGCAACTCAGCGAGCAAACTATTCTACAAATATGGCGCAGCAGCATAAATGGACCTGGCACCAAGCGTAGAAAGCATTTTCTCCTTAGGCGGCTCCAGTAAAAGACTTCTGGATTTCTGGCTTGTTAGCCTCAAAGTTGGTTATGAATAATTCATGATTCTACTTTGTTCAGCATTTGCCTATATTTGTCCAGTAAACTTGCAATGAGTTGTTGAGCAGCAATAGTAAACTACAATCCGACCATTTTACTTTCTTTTTATTTCATGTAACGTACTCTCTCATATGTGAAGTCGCTTGAAAGCTACAATCGTGGCTGTCAAAATTTAGGCTCTGGGTGGCAAAAAGAGACACGTGGAGGCAGAGCCTCGAAAGGGAAACGACATCAGATGCCAGAACCAAAAAATTCATGCATAGTGTCAAAGCTGCCCAACTTCGACGTTAAATTCCAAAAATATCTGAAAACTAATAGGGGTGATGAGATTGGTCCAAAGAATGATGTCTGGTACAAAGCCAGCGTCGAAATACTTAAATTAAGCTAATTTGCTCAAAATTAAAAATAGGTGGGATTTTTCCCACAATGTGTTGATTGCACATGATCACTGAAGTGGAATTCTGTGAAGTGAGTTCCTTTCTAATTCTTTATCAGCGCTTACCTCAGATATCTTGGACCAGGTAACTCCGTTTAAGCTGTACGACAAACGAAATAACGTTACCCATTTGTGAAGGACTGGATGACCCTGAGTGGCTACTGCCGTTACTTTACGAACAGAACCGAGATTGACTTGCAAATATGGTGCTACATCATGAAGCCCAGAACACCACGCGCCACTTCCCCTTCCTACTATATGCGAGTTGTTGAGGCGTCCCTCCCCAGGCCGATAGTACACGTCAATGGAGGACGAAGCTCCAAAGGAGAAATCTGGAACGGCGTGACTAGATAAACCTAACGATGTAAAAGAAATGTTTGTCAGATAAAAATTGTCTTGATGATAATTTAAACTGTCTCCTACAACTTAAAGTAGTATTCATTTTAAGATAATAATTTTAGTTTTTAAGGCTATTCACGGACTTGCGCCACCGTATATTAGTGTTTTAATTAGTATTAGGCCGAGGTCCTCTTACAATGTCAGACCAAATAGTAGTCTTTTACTGGAGCCGCCTAAGGAGAAAATGCTTTCTACGCTTGGTGCCAGGTCCATTTATGCTGCTGCGCCATATTTGTAGAATAGTTTGCTCGCTGAGTTGCGTGATATTCAATCATAAACTAATTTTAAAAGGAAACTTAAGACCCACCTTTTTAGGGCAGGTTAGACTATTTTTTTATTTTTATTTTTATTAATTATAATTAATTAATCAATTTGTATTCAATTGTATTTTACATTGTTTTATTCATATCATTTGGATAAGATTTTTAAGTAAGTGAATCATTGTAAAGCGCTACTGATCATTCTATGTAAATAGCGCTATATAAGTATTTAATTATTATTATTATTATTATTATTATTATTATTAAAGTCACTGTCACATCTAGAATATCTCACTTGACATGAGTTATTCATTGAAAGAAAGCAACAGATTCTCACCCAAAGGTTTATGGCATGGTAACACATCAGTGCAATTTAGTTCGTCTTCACCAGTGTCGCAGTCTTCTTGTCCATCACATAACCAATGATTCGTTATGCACGTTCCATCCGTACATCTAAATGTAGATGGCTGACAAGTAGTGAAATTCTTTTTAACGCACGTTTTACAGCATTTACCAGGGGATTTCAAAACAGTGAATTTGTCTGACGAACAGTTTATAATTGGGGGACATCTAATAGCTCGGCAAATTACACTGTTATTCCAACACCAACATCTTTCACAAGAGTTGTTCCATGTGGATCCTGGGTCATAATACTTTCCATTAGAGTAACAAATGCATTCTGCCGGTCTTACACAACGGGTACCATTAAACACCGTACCGTCAGGGCACTGACATCCGGGAAAACAAGCGTTTGTGGGGAGAGGGTCACAGGTTTTGTTCATGTGCTGGCAGGTATCTTCACAGTTTGATTTGCATTTAGTATACACCTTGCCTTGCGGGCACGATGGAGTTGTTGGGGAAATTATTGTCCTGGGTTTCGTCGTAAGTGTAATATTAGTTAAAATTTTCCATGGTGATCTGGAAGTCATTGTTGGTCCTAAAAATATTTTTTCTGCTGTTGACAATGTTTCTTGTGATTTGGTTGAGGCCTTTGCATTAGCTGTACTTGGAAATGATACTGTCGTTGCTTGTGGTATCGAGGCTGTTTCAGCTGTGCTTGGTAATGAAATTGTTGTCGTTTCCAGTGGCGAAAATATTTCAGTTGTACCTGTTGATGACATTGTTGTTTCGGCTGGTGATGATGTTTCAGCTGCTCTTGAAGATGACATTGTTGTTTCCGGTGGTGAAGAGTTTTTAGCTGTGCTTGGTAGTGACATTGTTGTTTGTGATGACGAGAATGTTTGAGCCATGCTTGGTGATGATACTGTTGTTGTTTCAGGTGGTGAGGATGTTTCAGCTGCTCTTGAAGATGACATTGTTGTTTCCGGTGGTGAAGAGTTTTTAGCTGTGCTTGGTAGTGTCATTGTTGCTTGTGATGACGAGAATGTTTGAGCTGTGCTTGGTGATGATACTGTTGTTGTTTCAGGTGGTGAGGATGTTTCAGCTGCGCTTGCTGATGACATTGTTGTTGTTTCAAGTGGTGAGGATGTTTCAGCTATGCTTAGTGATGACATTGTTCTTTCTGGTTGTGAGGATTTTTCAGCTGTGCTTGGTGATGACATTGTCGTTGTTGCCGGTGTTGAGAACGTTTTAGATTTGTTTGGTGATGCCGTTGTTGTTTTTTTCCCTAGTGAGAATGCTCCAGCATTGCTTGGTGAGAATGTTTTAGCTGTGTTTGGTGATGACGCTGTTGTTGTTTCTGGTGGTGAGGAAGTTTCATTTCTGCTTGGTGATGACATCGCTGTTGTTTCAGGTGGTGAGGATGTTTTAGCTGTGCCTAGTGATGACGCTGTTGTTGTTTCTGGCGGTGAGAATACTCCAGCAGTGCTTGGTGATGACGCTGTTGTTGTTTCCGGTGGTGAGGATGTTTTAGCTGTGCCTAGTGACGACGCTGTTGTTGTTTCCGGTGGTGAGGATGTTCTAGCTGTGCTTGGTGATGACGCTGTTTTTGTTTCCGGTAGTGAGGATGTTTTATCTATGCTTGATGATGATCCTGTTGTTGTTTCAGGAGGTGAGAATGTTTCAGCTGTGCTTGTTGACGACGCTGTTGTTGTTTCCGTTAGTGAGGAGGTTTTAGCTGTGCTTGGTGATGACGCTGTTTTAGTTTCTGGTGGTGAGGACGTTTCAGTTGTGCTTGGTGATGACATTGTTGTTGTTTCCGGTGGTGAGAATGTTTTAGCTGAGCTTGGTGATGACACTGTTGTTGTTTCCGGTGGTGAGAATGTTTTAGCTGAGCTTGGTGATGACGCTGTTGTTTTTTCTGGTGGTGAGGACGTTTCAGTTGTGTTTGGTGATGAGGCTGTTGTTGTTTCCGGTGGTGAGAATGTTTTAGCTGAGCTTGGTGATGACACTGTTGTTGTTTCCGGTGGTGACGATGTTTTAGTTGTGTTTAGTGATGACGCTGTTGTTTTTTCCGGTTTCGAGGATGTTTTAGCTGTGCTTGAGGATGGCGTTGTTGTTGTTTCCGGTAATAAAGATGTTTCAGCAGTGCTTGAGGATGTAGTTGCTGTTCTTTCCAGTAGAGGGGATGATTTTTCTGTGCTTGTTGATGACATTGTTGTAGTTTCCAGTGAGGAGGACGATTTTGCATTGCTTGTTACTTTTTTTGTAGGTGATGGGGATGCCTTACCTAGTGGATGTATCGTTGTTACCTCGTTTATTATGTACGACGTGGTTGTGTTACCAGGTGTTTTTGAGATTGCTTTTGTTGGTGATTTTGTTCGCAATATAGTCCATTTTGTCGATTTTAAAGTTGATTCTGATCGTCCTCCTGACACTGTTGGTGTTGGAATGAATCCTCCGGATGGTTTGGCCATTGCGTTTGTTTCTGGAGGTGATGAAGTCTTAGCTGTAAGAAATAAACGCAAACAGAATATTCAGTAGCCTTTTTCCTTCCCGTTGGTTCGTTAAGCCAAGCACAGCACACCTCACATTGCAATGATCACAATCATAGTTAGCATAGTTAGTAAAGGGGACTCATATGAAAGCCAGCAAATTTCTAAGGCCAAAACAAACGCGTTATCTCGCATGTTTTGCTACACATAAACACATGCAGCTGAACACAGAAGTACCTGAATTTAACTTAGCAGAAATATTTAGCATTACCCATTTTATTTTTCTTGATTCTTTCACTGAAATATTGATCAATCTCCCGCGTTTTAGTTACTTCGCTCACCTAGCTGGGTTGCTCCCATTTCTAATGTGCGTCATCTTTCTCCGCGAGGAGTTGTTTTTTTCCTAGGCCTGCACGATCCACAGCCAAAGACAGTGCAGTTATCCACCGCCATGGCTATTTACCGTCTCTTAAGTAACAAGTTAAGACGATCTTTCGACTCGTATCAACCCAAAACAAGCAAACTATCACGCAGATTTTTGCCGTACTTTACTCCGAAGGCCATGGAAGTTTCTTGTGCATTGTCAGCTACACTTGACTAAGCAAAACCTAAAACAAAGGCATAGTTCAAGAACCTTTCCCGCTTTCATACCCAGTCCCTTCTACTAACTATGTCACATGTAGCCTGCTATGGCAGACGTAATTCCGGTTGGGGCAACTTTTGGACACAAATACTACTGATTTGACAGGTTAACAAGCCAGAGAAAATAAACTTCAATTGCTTAAAAAGACTAATCCACTAATTCATCACTTTGATAAGTTTCAAGTAATAAATGATTTGGGAGCTGTATATACAGCGTACAAAAGATGACGAGAGGGACTAAGACATCAGTGTTAGGCGGCGAAGGTACCTGCAGGTGTTGGACATGTCGGACCAGTACAGGATAGACAACCAGATTCACACGAACTAAAAGACGAAATGTAATGTTGTTAGACGATATGATTATAGAACTGTACGTAGCTTCTCCAAGATGAGAAACGATAAAAAGGGCAATAAAAAGCTCAGAAAAAGGGTCATGAGACGAGAGAACAGAGAAAGACCGGGGTGCTTAGTTAGCAAGACACTTTTTTTAAAAAAAAATTCAACAGAATTTTGTGATCTTCTTACCATCTTTGACAATTTATGACGGAAATTGATCCGGGCTCGTATATCACGCCTCCAGCGTTACAAGGGCAGTCTCTTGGCGCGATGCACCTCCCATTTCTGAGCACAGTTCCATTTGGACAAGCGCAACCCTCCAGTTGTACAGGACAATGCCGTGGGCTGACCTCGCACAGGCTTTCGCAGGTTTTAGGACAGGCTGTTTCACAGGCGGTATACTCAGTACAACTGTCTTCCTTGTGTGGACACTGAATTGCTATATTGAACAAATACAACCACATGCAATTAAAACCCGCATAATTTAGAGCGTTTTGTTATAAACCTCGTCTTAACACAAGGAAAATCAAATCTAATTCATGGTTACTTGAATGAAACGACAAAATAATCAGTTCGCCAGAGAATCCAGCAGGACCTAAACACTAATTTAAAATTCATTTCATCAAGCAATCTACATCTACACCTAAATTGCGCAAGTTTATCTTAATTCTGCTTACTTTAATGGCCATTGTTTGTTATTGAAGAGTTGCTTGTGATTATTCTACTTACGACAAAGTTCCTGTGTTCTCCACTTGATTGCGACTCCATGTTTGCAACACTCGTGACCATAGGCAGCAATGGCTGTGCACAAACACTCACAGTCACCTCCATTATCACAGGCGCAGGCATCCCGATAACACGCATCATACCAGGAACCTGGATCTACCTGAGGTTTGTACAAGAACATTGATTAGTTTAGTGGGACCAAATAACAGGGGGTCCAGGAAAAGGTAGCACACCTGAAGGGGAACACTGTTCGGTAAGTAAATGTCCTGGGCCCGGTTGTTCAAAAGTTGGATAACGCTATCCACCGGATTAATCGCTATCCAGAGGATAAGTATTACGAGAACTAATTGCGTTATCCACTGGATAGTGATTTATCCAATGAATACTGCTATCCACCTTTTGAACAACTGGGACCTGAAAGACTTACTGGATCAGAATAATAACGCAGATTATTTTTCAGCGCTAATCTGCCGTTAATTTTATCAATTATTTGTCGTTTTAAAGCAAAGCTCACCCAATATACAGCCCTACAGAGCCAAATGGAAATGCTAACCCTTAAGCATTAGCAAATCATCCACTTATTTCGGGCTGCCAGTGCCTTTACGAAGCGAAAAAGTAAAAATAATGACTAAAGCGCATTAATAAGACTAATAAAGATGTTTCGGTCGTTCACATCGTTCCTTTGTTCTTATGTCTAGAAATGGTTTGGCCAGGTTACTAACCACGTGGTGACAAGGCTTGAACACGTCTCCCCTTATAACACTGCACATCTTGTGGGCCCAGGGTTCTCGATGCTTGTTCGTTGCACAAGGATTCCTGGGACTAACTGCATCCGGGCAAGTTGAATCAATTTTCCAGCTGTCACCAAAGTTATTCGGTAAAGTCTCAGGTAACATCTGTGGACTCATGAAATCGTCATTTCTGTCACCATTGAAGTTTCCGCATAAGCCGCATGTTCTTCCTGGTGGAAATTTAAAATGAGTATTATTCACATCCTTCTTATGCTCCATTTGAAAGCAAAAACGTTTCTGTACAAAGGCGATGTCAATAATGCATATATCATGTATTGAAACCTTACCAACTGACCTTTGAATTTTGGATCCAAAGTGATGTACAGTCTAGTTCCTCTATCCCATGTAACGGTCAACCCAAACTCAGTGTCTAATACAGTAAATAAATGCAGTTCCCTTATTTGAAACTTCCCATTCATGTGGACTGTCGACGCACCAGGTAGTGATGATATCACAGGTGTTTTCTCTCTTTCTAATGTGATCACCGTGTTATTAATTATAACAGACACTTTCTTTGTGCATGTCAATCCACTACTTCCACACGGAACATTCTGGACCTGTATCTGAAATGTGTCTGCTGACGAATCGTTACAAGAATCTTGCGCAAGAATGTACTCGCAAGCTCCGCTAAAAGTGTACCTTTTTCCGTCAAAGGTGATATAATTCTGTTCACCGTAAACAGAGCACGTTCCGGAACATACGTAGTTTGTACAAGACCATTGAGAGCCTCTGCAGTAACTGAAATATCAAATAAAATCAAAGCAATTCCAGAATCAGAGATTAGGTTACTTTTTTATAGATATTAACCAAATTGTTTTTATGTATTGGCCTAATCGACTCTCTAGTTGATTCCCACTATTTATTTCGCGCTTCAAAGAGTAATTCACATATTCAAAAACACTTCTATTAACAGCTTTTTTAACCGTTTAATGACTGGTTGATGCCACACATGAATCCCATTACTCATGTTGAAACAGATCGTCATTTTCCATGCATGATTGGAACTGATCTTTATTTTCCTGGTTTCAACTAGCCAGTGCACTATTTCTTTCCGTCAGAGATTAACGAACACTTTTTGAAATTTCTACTTTTGACAATAAGCCGCAAGTAGTATAGGGTGCAACGAGTACTCTCGATTTGCTCAGGAATCTATTTAACTTGCGCAGGAATATATCAACACAGATGACGTCATCGCCTTTTGTCTTTTGCGGGAATACCATTAGGATAAGGTCAGGTGCTATTTTTAGTTGGTTTTACGGGTTTGACAGCTTGTTAATCGATGACATCACAGTATATTTTAAGTTTTATTTGTCATGTCCTTATTTGGTAATGATGTCACCTCTGACTTGAATTCACTGACCCGCAACGTAATTATGCAAGTTCTATTCCCTGCCACCTTTATCGTTTATTGTAAGGAAAGACTTGTTCCAGTTCAGGTTCACTCATTCTTTGCGCCAAAATTGAGCTATAATTGAGGACGAAGGCAAAAGTAGCTCCTTCTAGTGCTAAACACAATTTTTACTTCCACCACATTTCTATTGTTTTCCCTCCTATACAACCACCACTACTACATTTCTATTGTGTCCCCTACACTACCACCTCAGAGTGAAGGAGGGAAAACAAAATGAGTTGGTGGTGGACGGACGACAATCGAAATGAGGTGGTGGAGGTGGTGATGGAAAAGCAACAGGAATCTGACTGTGGTAGTGCTAGTGGAGGGATAACAAAGGAAATGTGAAGGTTGTGGTTTTGGACGGAAAACAGTACAAATGTGGTGATTGAGGTGGTTTTAGAAGGAAAACAACGAAAATGTGCAGGCAAGTGAACATTGTGTTTAGTAATAGAAGGAGCTAGTTTTCCTTTCGCCCTCTTTCATATGCACAATTTGGACGACAAGAATTAGTGAACTGGTACTGGAACAATTTTTTGTCTGCAATGGACAATGAAAGCGGTAGGGAATAGTCACGGGTGACGTTATGACCAAATTAGGACAAACAAACATAATTGAAAACAAGCTTTGAAATCATCGATCTAAAACTTGTCAACCCGGAAAAAACATTTACAAATAGCACTTGACTTTCGTCTTAATAAGATTGCCCTGCATTTTCTTCATGAGATAAAGACAAATGGCGTTTATATGCTCCTGTGCAAGTCAATTAGATTCCTGTGAGAAAAGGGGAGCAATCCATGAGCCTTATACTACTTCCGTGAACTAAAACCACTTATTTTGGAAGGTGAAATATTGCAAATTAAATTTATGTTTTCTGGACACACCCTGAAATCTTACTACTGAAACATACCAAATATTACAATCCACTTTGATCTTTTCCCCTGGCCTGTATCTTTGACCTCCGTGATGACAGAGGCACTGGGAGGAGTTGATACATTGTTTATTATGAAGTACCATTCCCTTGGGGCAGATACAGCCTTCCTGGCAGGTGTTGTCGAGGCAGGGAAGATGATAATTGTTGCAAGTCTTTACGCATTGTGCTCCACAGGCTACCCAGCTCCTACCCGGCGGGCAAACTAAGAAGATAGATAAAGCTGTTTTACGAGTCGCAGAATTTAGATCATTAAAAAAAAAAGACCCTTTTTGAGTCAACCTTAAGACGTTACGTTCTGGTAGAGCCAAGGAGCACCCTCCTTTGAAAACTCGCTTAAAAACCGCTCACTGTGGATATGATAGTCATTAATGTGGCGAATCTCTAAAAGGACAGAATTATCGAATCTGTAGTATTCCTGCATAATCAGTTGAGTGATATAATAATAATGTCCTAACAGCTCAACAACTCCACTTTATTAGAAAAAGTAGCATTATAGCAGAGATTTTACAGACAGCCGCGACGAACAGTTGTAGTTACTGGTCAGAGTAAATTTAAATCCGCAAATGCAAGCACTGAGCACCATAGTTAACCCCCGTCGACCAGTTTTGTGGACCTGAAAGCTGTTCCTGGCATTTTGATTGTATTGACCAAAAAAACGTTGCATTAATTTTTCCGCATCGAAAAAAAAGGATTGTGCGGGTGCTTTGAACATAAACTTTGTTGTATTGATGTTTGCCGCTTTTCATAACCAGTACAAAGCACTTTAGTTTAAGCTGCCTGGCAAACTTCATAACAAAAAAAATGTATTGACGAAAAAAAGTTTTTTTACCTGTTTTACCTGCATTTATTGGTGCAAATAAACTGTCCATCCTTGCATAAGCTGAAAGAGAACTGAGACAGCATTTGGGGGTTGTTTTCTTTTACTGATTTAGATCACAAGAAATGCGCCGTTATATTTAGGTTTGATGTTTTTTGCTGTAGCTAATACCTTTAACCTTAGATCACTGTAAGATTTCGCCTTTTGAAATAAACATATATAGAGAGAGGATATTACACGGTGGCGCGAAGATATGAATTTTATTTTCGAGTGGCAAAACAATATTTTACTCACTCGCTGCGCTCGTTCGTAAAATATTGTTTTTGCTACGAGAAAATAAAATTCATATCTTCAAGCCGCCGTGTAATGTTCTTTTTTATTATATAGACAAAGACATCGATAAAATAATAGAGGGAAATTACCGAAATTACCGAAAACTCACATGTCATCGAAAATAAACCACTCGGGTCCCGGATGTTTTCATGAATTTTACGAGATTAAAACACTCGTGTCTAAAATTAAAAACCAGTGTTTTTACAAGGATTTCTACCACCGTCCCGGAAAAATACGATATTTTTACATGTTTTTGATATTTGATAGTTTTTTTAACCATTTATCTTGTCTTTTATATTTTGAACAAGATACCGGTTTTTATATTTATTTTTACTGTACTTTGTAGAGCTAAACTGGACAATGAATTACATTTATCGGGTTCTACTATAATGGTTTTGGTTTAAATGGTTGATTCATATACAAACAGAATATTACATGGACGCTTTACAGGTAGCTAGTTTCACGACGCCTGAAGGAACGATCAGATATCGAATGGTTTATTCCACGTCCGCGCGACCATCAAGATCTCTCTATATATACCTGTTTAAGGTAATCCACGCCTGAAGGAGGATCATGAGGTTACCCCCATATCAAGATCTCTCCTTGGCCACACAACCGGGATCTACGTCCCCTACCCTTTTCGAACAGTGCTGTGAGACGGCGCCTACTGTTTTTTGTCCTTTTCCGAGAAGACTAGAAAGTCTAACCGTTTGCAGATGTCATTACAAAGGCAGTGTTATATCGTGAATTTATTTCCTGAAGTTGTGTTACAATAAATGAAGTTACGTCACAGATGTATTACGTTCATACAGTGCGCTTGCGTGGAATGAGAATGGGGGATAGAAGAACTAGAGCTGTTGGTCGCGATCCATTCAGCCAAGATTTCGGGAAATTTCGGTCCAAAACTCAATGGATCGGTTCGGTCCAGCCTGAAAAGTTTCGAAAAAACTGGTCCACCTTTTGAGGTGGACCCGTTTTCCCGGTCGGACCGGTTGGAATTTTGGTTGAATGGATCGCGCCCGTTCTGTTCAGTGTGGCACGTTTTATTTCATGATTTCGTTTTTGGACTTCCAAGTTACAACATCTGGCGACGAGGATGGGATCCATTGGGCAACTTTCCGCTATTTCCTTAAACGGATGACATTCTTTCACTCCGTTTCGTTCGTTTGTCCTTTCACGCACGTGTTCTCTGGAGCGTTTGCGAATTCCGCCATGGCTTCCCCGGTTGTTGGTTCTGTTGGTCAATTTGATCCGTCCTCTGAGACGTTTACGGCTTACCTTGAAATAATTGATCGGTTCTTTGAAGTCAGCGATATTGGGAAAAGTTCAGAGGATTTAACTGCGGCTGTTATTCGTAATTGGTGAGAAGACTTAGAGCACTCTTCGCGATTTGTGCAGCTCTGCTAATCGAAAATATAAAACATTTGAAACGTTATGTGAACTACTGCGACAACATTTTAAGCCCAAGCGATTGGAAGTTGCCGAATCCTACAGATTTCATCGATGTTGTCAAGAAGAAAATGAAACCTTGTCGGTTTACAGTGAGCGTTTAAGACATCTGGCCGCCACTTGTAATTTTGGCGAATTCCTGAACAGCTCACTCCGAGGCCAGTTTGTGTATGGTACTGAGACTTGTAAAAAACTGTTGAGTGAAGACTGAACATTTCAAGAGGCTCTCCAAGTGGCTTAACAGACTGCAAGTTCACCAGCAACAATTGCCTTAATGAGTGAATTCAGTTGCAAAGGCGTTCTCTGCCTTACCGTCCCCTTCTCCGTCTACTTCGCGGCCGTCTCTCGCCAGACCTCGTTCAGATCTCATTCAGTGGCTTCTTATGCTTACTTTTCATGCGGTAGTTCTGACCACGTAAGATCTAAATGCAAACTTAGGAATTCTGTTTGTAGCTATTGCAACTTACGGGGACATTTTGTTCGAGTTTGTAACAAGGGCGGAAGTAAATGTCATGGGTTTTGAAGAAGAGTCACCTCGGGTACAATTATCTGAAGAAGATGAGTTGTATGTGTTGTATGATATTCATGCAATGCCAAGGTCTGAAATTTCGGCACCACTGAAGATTGAAGACAAGGATTGTCTGAAGAAGTTAGACACGGTCCGTAGTGAAGGGGTGCGACGGGTGCGCTCGCACCCCCCACAGGTTCCAGAGGTCCACTTTTTTGTTGATCAAATATTAAAACAAGGGAATTTAGTGTATTGTTCTATTCTAATTCACTGATTGTGTAGTAAAATACCGCGAAAGAGCCATAAGCTTGATTGCCAGATTGTTCCCGATCCAGCCATACTGTCTCCGTACATCCCTCCTACAGCAACGTTGAATGAGTCCATTATGACCGGCACTGAGGAAGACATTCATATTGCACAGAAGCAACCAACGGTGTCCATACCGATTGCCTGTTACTGACACTGCCATGATTTCTCTCGATGCGCTTGCGCCGAATGAGAACGGGTAAAAAAAGACTAGAGCTGTCATGTTTAATGTCGCTCGTTATATTTAATGATTTCGTTCTTGGACTTCCAAGTTACAACAGGAAGCACTTTCTTCTCAGTTATTTAAAGACCCTGAGTGTTGGTCCGGCCGGGATTTGAACCTAAAGGTTATTCTGGTAATTTACAGTACATTGTCTGCTTACCAGGTTCTCAATAGGACTGAATGGATTAAAATCAAGAAGAAATTTCTTACCATTCTTTGCAATTAGTAGGTTTGATCACAGTCCCAGGCGCATACGCGCGCCCATTGTGGTAACAAGGGCACTTTGAGTAAGGCACACATTGGTTATCATCTGTCAGCGCCTTTCCGACAGGACAGTTGCAGCCCTCAGCGCATTCCCGAAGACAAGGCACGTCCATGGAGATTTCGCGGCACGTTCGTTTACAAGACGATCCGCACACCTGGTACATTTGTCCGGGAATTGAACAAACAACGTCTGAAAATGGTAAGACAGTGAAATAGAAATCTGGCTGTGTATATTCACATGATCCGCCTGTCTTATCTTTTAAGTTTATAAGAAGGCGCAGTTCACTACTTTAACATATATATTAAGCACTTGTTTGCCTTTAACGAACCAGCTGGCATGACTGATCTCAATTTTCACTAGAAAAAAACGGAAATGGTCAGGAAGATTTAGGTCGTAAAAAATACTGACTGGTACCGAAGCGACAGGCCATGGTTCCATTCTGCGCCAAAAAACCTAGGATCGTTATATAACTGAGGTGAATCTACTGCAATTGCTCTGTCATCTCGTTAAAAATGGTTAAATTTTCTAGTCTTCTGGAACGAGGGAAAAAACCGAAGCCGCAACACTTTCAGTGATCTGAATATTGTGAAACATAAAGGATCCTCTACGGACCGCGAACCTCTGACAGTCGCAACCCTGTTAATAAGCTTTCGTGGGCTGAGTCCCGCTCTCGCCTATCCCAACTTGGTATGAGTGTACCGAATAACGCCAGTAAATATGACACATACACCAGCTTAAAATAGACCTAATCACCTGTGAAAGGGAAAGCAGGAGCAAGGATTGCACAGTTGGTTAGTGCGCGCGGCGTTCTGTCTGAGGGGTCCCGAGTTCATTTCCCAGGAGTAACTTTAGTGATGGTTTTGACTTCTATTCTTTCCGTTAAGCTTTATGTAGTTTTAAATACCCAAGAAAATTACGGGACATAGGAAGAAAATTTTGAAAACAATGGAAAACTAAATACTTACCACACTGTGGCATAACTTGAGAATTAATCCATTCGATAACCACCCCACGTCTTGCACAGTCGTGCACATAATTAGCGATAGCGTTGCATAAACACTGTGTACTCTGCTGGCACCCACACACGTCAAATATGCAGTCAGCAAGGTAACCATCAGCAGGGTTTAAAGTGTGATGACATTTGTTGAATGGAGCTTGCATCAACCTGTTGCACAACTTTTCTGCCGTGGCTTTTCTTTGAATCTGCATTTCACACGGATGTCTAGAAGCCTTTGTGTCGTTACAAACTGGATTCACTTTCCAAGAATTTCCGAAAGCTAAGACACTTGTTTCTACGAGGTTCTCTTTCGTCGTTAAGTCGTCGTTTTGGTTGCTGTTGAAAGTTCCGCATAACCCACAAGTCATTCCACGGAAGCGCGGCTCAACCTTGACGTAGGCACGCGAGATACCGTCCCAAGTGACAAGTACTCCAATAGGACTTTGAACAGAGATTACTGATGAAGACAGCTGCCTGATGATGTAATCTACAGGAAGAAAATAGCAACATATGTTCAACATGTATATTATTTTAAAGTTTTTTTTGGACAAAACACTGTCAGACTGTCAAGCTAGGCATTGTCGTCTTGATACTTCACCTTCACTTCACTTCATATAGCGCGCCGATGACTTGCATCGAAGAAAACGAAGCGTGAGTTCTTGCATCCAGAAAAATACATTTTTCGACGCAACAGGTCACATTTCACCTTCATGTTGTGTAGCACGCCGATGACCACGATTACCCTTTTTTGCAAAATTTCTTTTGACGACAAAAAAATGATATAATGACAAGCAAAGACTAGTCCGGGAGAGCTGAATAGACTCTACTTGTTTGCGAACTGAATCATAAAGTATTTTTTACTAGCCTTCAGTATTGTCACTTTTCTTACTTACGTACATTACGGAGACGACATGACGTCATAGCGTTTTACAGTTTCTATGGAAAACTGTAAACATAAAACAAACTGGAGGAAACTAAAAGAAACTGATGGAAACTGTAAACATAAAAGTGAAAATGTTCCAAAATGATACAAAAGGCAAACGATACGTGGTAGATAACCGTTTTTCGTACTTTTTCTCCTCGGAGTTGCTAGCATTCTGAGGGAAGCAATAAAACCAATATACTGGTATCTGATTTCCGATTTTATTGACGCAGATAAAATAGATTGTGACTGGCACTCGTCTTTATCATTTCTTAAGTTCATCAAAGTTCCGACTTGTTCAAAGTTCCGATTTGTTACTTACTTGTAACTACTCTTGGAAAATCAGCAATTTTGTTTCCGTTAATGAGGACCCTCCCTCTTTCCTTGAGTGTAATTACTGTCCCATTGAGCTGTATGTAGACGTTTTTGGTGCAAGACACAGTACCACCAGAGCCGCATTCTACATTATCCACGAGTATTGTGAATAAATTATTGATACAATCTTTTGCTAAAACGTACTGACATCTCCCCATAAAGGAGAAGTGTAGTCCGTCAAATGTTCTGTAGTGTGGATCCCCGCTAATGGAACATATTCCTGTGGAGGAGGAATGATGTGATCAACATTTTGAACAAAAACTTCACATCAATAAATATATTTTTTGTAAGGCAGTGTATTTACGGTAGGATCAAGAGTTGGAAATTGTCATACTACATTTTCAGCTGACAGAACACTGGCTGAAAAAACAGAAACGCTTTTCAGAAAAAGGTAACTTTTCTGTCTTCGCGAGATACGGCGTCGACGCCATATGTGGGTTGAGTTTGTTGTTAGTTCTCTCCCTTGCTCCGAGAGGTTTTTCTCCGGGTACTCCGGTTTTCCCCTCTCCTCAAAAACCAACACTTCCAAATTCCAATTCGACCAGGAATCAGGTAGAACGAAGAACCACTTTGTGGATGTGGTACCTTCAAATCTTTATTTATTAGTTATTTATTATACCATCCCATCTTAAGTGTGATAACAGAATACATGACTCTTACCAGGACACTGCTTGGTAGTACATCTCCATCTTCCATTTGCACATGTGCTGGAAACAAAGCAGAAAAACGCTTACAAAAAAGTGAACACTTGAGAACGTTTTATTTCCTTAATCTGACCATCTGGACGCATTGCATTTTACTCCATCTGTTAAGTGTCTTTTGTCAAGGGCAATACATGGAACTCCACTGGGATAAACCAATTAGAAGCCAGCATTTGTTACCGTGTGAGTGAGTAGTAATGGAACCAAAAAAGGTTCTATGCGTTTTTACACATACTAAGGCACATGGGCTAGTTTTTATCTAGCCGGATTTTTGATAACGTTACCGCCAAAATGGACTCCAAAGTAGCCATTATAAAAACTAAGAGTGTAACCATTGCTTTTTTCTCTTCTCCTCCTTTCCCTCTCCTCGCTCTTTCTTTTTCTCCTTTCCTTTTCCTTCGTTACTATGATTTTGGAGCTTCTCGGGCTCAAGAAACCTGCCTTTTGACGCCTTTTCACTCAAATGACTGCAAATTTCGTTGGGTTGGTTTTCACAAAATCGGTTGGATATAAACTGCGAAGAAAATCAAAGCTTTCCTTGTAAAGTTGATTGTGTCCTTATTTAGCATACCTGTCATGCAGGCGAGGGAGGATACCTACCAGTTGTTACAATTTCGTTTGATATAGGATTGGATATAGGTGAGGATACCTACCAGTTGTTACAATCTCGTTTGATGACAGAATTAGGAGCAAATTGTTGTTTGTTGTGAAAACAGGGGCACTGCTGCTCAGGTACACACCGCTGACCATCATACACAGTTCCGTTAGCACAGTAACAGCCATCCAGACATCGCTGAGGACAAATGTAGTTCCTTTTCTTTATTTGACAGGTAGGAGAACAGGAGGAACCGCACTCATTAAACCACAAGGTATTTGGACACTTGATCGCTATTAAAAATTGTTAGATAAATCAGATCATTGACATAGTTCGTTCGCACACAATCATTTTAAGCATTCACGAAAATATCCTTGGTCATAAGGGAAAAATTAGGCAATGACACGAATGTAGTAATCAGTAAGATAGAAAGCGAATAGACATAAAATAAGACACTTACGGCAAAAGCTATTGGTTCTCCAAGATATCGGTACCTTGTTCCGTGCGCATGCCCTTGCGTACTGTGTGAAAGCCGAGCATGCGCAGTCCCTGCGCTCTGATAAGCTACACCTACAGAGTTCTTCCTCGCACATTTTAATGAATGGCGCAGGATCCAGGACCATGTGACAAAGGAAAAAGGTCGAGTTACGCAGATAAGAGCACAATTTGTGTACCTACAAGAAATAAGACTCGAATTGGTAATGTAGCGTATAATAACAAAGGAGCTTTTCAGAAGTAGATACCATGCTTGTAAATTGTTTTTTTTTCTAATTTGGTGCGAGATTTATTTATTTATTTATTTATTTATTTATTTATTTATTTATTTATAATTATAACAACAACAACCTTTATTATGAAATCCAACTGGAGAAAATTTTTACATTTTTCGGTGGCTTTTGGAATGAAAAAGAAGAAATTGTTACATAAAATAATACTGAGAAAAGGATGTCTAGGAACTAAATTGACAAACGTCTCCGTGCTAGTTCTTAGCTATAAAATGATATTTTTAACACAGTGTTGCCAAGTATAATAGCAGAAAAGGAAAAAACAACAACAACAAATGTAAATAAATAACACACTCTATACACTATATGGAGAAAAAACGAAAATGGTCAACTTTCAAATTGTCTTATTAGGAGATGTTGTTTTAGTAAGCGTGGGAAGGAGAAATTTGGGAGGTCTTTCAGAAATTTGGGAGATCTTTAAGAATTTGTTTGATTCAGAAGACTGAGACGAATTAAGTTCTGAGCGAGATTCTCCCAGCACACGCAAGTTTATGCATGAACTGCACTATATATTCTGTGCCTTTTTTTAAAATAGTTACCTGCGTCATATTGTACTTTGTGACTGAGCTACACGGACTCTTTGTCTCCTCTTCACGGACGTTGGGGCACAATTGATTGACGTCAGTCATACGCCAACTATTCCCAAATTTGGCGACAGAAGACACTTGTTGATGATCATACGTCATAAAATCATCGTCCGGCAAGCCGTTGTAGTTACCGCAGAGTCCGCAGGTCCTATTTCTGTGATTAGTGGAAACATGCGCATACACGGCATCCTTCCCGTCCCATAACACCGTTATTCCATTGTAGCCATATGTTACAGTGTAGCTGGAAACTTTCTCAATTACCACGTTGTTTATGATATGAGGAAGAGAGACGTTTTTGTCATTTACAGTCACCTGGTCACTTTCCCCCAACTGGATCTAAAAAAGGTAGTTTCACAAAGATGTCATTATTATCATGTCAAAAAAGAAATGTTTTCTGGACAGGAATTTATCCTCTAACGTCTCAAACACAGGCCAGCTGAGATGCAGATATGTCTTGACTTGTCAGGTGTATGAGCCAAGGTGAACGCATCGATAGTGTTAAGATAAAGAAAACAAAACTGTTGTCTGTACGAACCTCGCAAGATAGAGAAAGGGGTCAAAAATAGTATGGGTTACCACTCGAAAAGTTGTCTCGTGATTTCTGATTGTTATTTCATTAGATTAGCTGTTATACGATAAGGAGAAAACGAACGATTTAAGCATGGAACTGAATTTCTCTAGGGAAAAATGGTCAAAAAAGCTTTGAAAAAAGGAAAACGAGAAACGCGACAGTGTTGATTACCTTTATGTCCAGTCCTCCCAAGTACAAATTAACTGCTCGACGACAGGTTTCTGTGTCTTTACAATGAGGGTCAGTAAACATATGAACAGAAAACAAATCGTCCTGACAATCGTGTATCAGTTTGTAAGTGCAACGACCAGGGAAGTAAATATAACGGCCATCGAAGGTTTTCACATGTGAGCGCCATGAGAAGCAGACGTCTGGTTCATTCATGGCACCGCTGGGTACTAAAATGAGAAATAGTTTGAAGATGATGAACGGTTTAAAAAGCTGAAAAGTAGAAAGTTTCTGACAGTACTTTCTGTCAGCTACATCAAGGTCTTTACAAGCTCAAACCTGGCCAAATAGTTAGACTAGGGACTACCGAGGACAAATTCAGCTAGTTTTCAAGAGGGACTCGAACTCGGGAACCGCGGATTGCGGGGTCCACCTCACTGATCACTCGGCTATGACGTCTCCCATCTCAGTTTGCCACCGTTTAGCCATTTGTAAGGAGCTATATCTTCGAACTAGTAAATGCAAAGCAAAAGGTCTGTTTACGGGTTACGGGTATTGTGTAACGGGATTCAATTTTCCCGTGGAATTACTTTCTGAATTCATATGGAAGGAAAATGAACTCAAAGCATAAAACACCTGGCCCCGGTTGTTCAAACGTTGGATAGCGCTATCCAGCGGATAAGTATTAGGAAAATCGATTGCACTATCCACTGAATAGATATTTATCCACTGGATAGCGCTATCCAACGTTTGAACAACCGGGACCTGGATGGGTAATAAGCAGGAAAATTGTTGGCTGTCATTAACTATGGGATAAAGAATAGAAGAAAACAAGCTTACCAGCGGTTGCCAAAATGGTTCGCACCTCTACTGGAACAATCCCTTAAATAAAAATAATAAAAACATTCCATAATATTATCGATACAATATCTAAATTCTACTCATGTCATTGATAATCTCCGAAACCAATCGAATTTACTTGCCTTCATCACATGTTACATTAGCTGGCCAATCACACTGCTTGATGACGTAATTATACCTCAGTCCAGCTGGGCAGTTCTTTTTGTACATGATGCCATTTGAACAGAAAATGTATCCATGACAGTTGTTTGGGTCTTTGTAATTGCCATTTTGCAATCCAGAGCAGAATGGTATTGCTGCAATACAATTAAAGTTACTTCATTACACTTGTGCCTCTCAGACGTTGCAGTGGAGTCGAAAAAGATCTTGCTGATGAAATTTAAAAAACTATTTGTAGAGGCTCTGACGTCATGTAAGTATGACCTTTAAGCCAGTTGGCATCTACCAACCTGTTTCACATGCCACTCCAGTGTAGCCAGGCCTGCATTTGCATCTTTCTGGTGCCACACAAGTTCCACCGTTTTGGCAGGAAACAGCACACAGTGCTACAAGAACAAAGAAATGATTTCGGCAATAGTTTATTGAGAAGTCCACATGCAATTTGTACATATTAGCTGGGCCATTAAAAGCTAATGGAATCCATGCACAGAATGAACAAAGCCTATGTATTGTCGACTGCTTGAAGCTTTGCAAGTCTTTAGTGTGTCACGCTGTGGGAGCTATCTCTGTATTCAGAAGGGTAAGGCTTACCTCTACTACACCTGCTACCAACCCATCCACTCTGACATGCGCACTGGTCTGGTTTTACACAAAGCCCTCCGTTTTGACAGTTCGGAACACAAACAGCTTTAAAAAAGAACGATCCATGAGTTAATGCCTGTGGTACATCCATTGTCTGAATGTGGAATACTAACACAATTGTGAGAGATCCCCAGTGCTGGTAAGAATTAATTAGACCTTCATTTGTAATGAGTAGTAGTAAAACAACAGTACAAAAAGCGAGACAATCAACATCCAAACGACATTTCATCTTGATTTAGCGAAATGCTCGAGAAGTTTTACAACAGAAAGGGTTACAAACCTTTTTCGCAAGATTTTCCCGTGTAGCCAGGCAAGCAAAAACACAAACCGTGTGAACACAACCCGTTGTTTTGACAAGATGGAATACAGGTCTCTGAAAAGGAGTGAGAGTCGATAGCTCATCAACATTTAGAAGCCTAAACATATGCCAAGCAAATATTTTTGATGATGCATTTCATAACCCCATATGAGAACTGGAACGTTGTTTTCTTGGATAGTATGAGTTTGAGTTTGCAAAATAACAAGGTTTCCACCTGTCGTTTTTCTAAATCAAAGGTTTTTATGTTGCAGGGTCTTTGGAAGGGTAGTGGTTTCAAGAATATGAACCGTAAAACATGAATGTACAGAGTTCAGTGCCGCTAACCCAAATTAGTCCCGTAAAGGTTTGAAAGAGAGACGAAGACAGATTCAACACAACTGGAATCTGATCTAGATACGAGTCACCATTTTCACATAGACCATAATGCACCAACTCTTTCAAATTGTAAATTCAATTGTAGATACGGTGACTCCTTCTATGGATTAACTCGTATGCTAATAAGCAAAAATGTAAACAATGACGTCAGCAAAGATTCGCCTATAGACAAAAAACTGAAATACCCACTGGCTGCACTTGGTGTATCCTGCACAAATTGCCTCTTTTCATTCAAAGGAACCTCCTTCTCACCTTTGAAAACATGATAACGAAAACACAAACTTAAAAATGGCCAAAACAAATACTCGACTGAATCCTTAGATTCGCGTACAAGAAGATGTGTGCGTTTTAATAATAATAATCTTATATTAGGAAACTTTCAATTTCATAAATCGTTTTCAGAATTAAAGGCTTATTTAAGATTAGCATAAAAGGAAAACTTTTAAAACAATATCCACCAAATAAAAAATGAAACTACCTTAGTTTAAAACTTATTCTCACTAGCACGCCGGTTTACCGTGCAGTTAGATTTGTGATAGAACATTCATCTAAACTAAAGCACCTATTTTACGTTTTAGCTATTTATTTTTACGCACACTAAATTTTTCGAAAATTTGGAAGCCATGTTGCGCGAATATTAATTTCTCGATTTGGGAAACAAAATATTGAAAGCGTATTAAAGGTTGTGTGCACACTTAGTGCACGGGTATGGTGGGAAAGTACAGTTGCTCGCTCCGTAGGAAGGGCTGGGAGAGAAACCTAGGAACGAGGTTGTGTGTACACTCACCAGAAACTCATATGGGGTTGACACGTGTAACTCGGGTTCAATGCTCGTGAATGTTAATTTTTTCTAAGAACCCTATTTGAAAACCCTCGCTGCGGCCTCAAAAAAGCACAAGTTTTAACAACATCTTTGCACGTCCAACACTCTTTTATGAGCAATTCTTTGCCGTTACTGCATGACTACGACATGAAAGTGCCCTTAGGAGGGCGAAAACACAATAAAGCGACTTTCTTTTCCTTTTCCTGAACTTCGATACAGTATTTAGACGAACTAAACGAGATGGAATAAGCACATTAAAGTTTAAAGCAGCGATACACTTTTTAAGTGACGTTTTTGTTGCTATCGCCATCGATGTTGCTTGAGCCCCGTCAGGTTCCCTCCCTAGAACGCGAAGTAAGATTACATAACGTCGTTTACGGAGTTTGATTGGTCAGTTATCTTTTCTTCTAGTTCCAAATATGGTACTTGCGAAAACGAAAATTCACGAGCATCGGACAAAGCAAACATAAGAGCTAGAGAGTTACAGGCTTCAACCCCTTACGAGTTTCAGCACACACTTAACTTTTTTCAATTAAGTACCTGGTCCTAGGCCAGAATTAGGAAATATTGCCAATGCACGAACCCAAGGTCGAGAGGTGGGGGTTGGGGGGGATAGTACTTGGGCACTAAGTTGGGCACAAATTCTTGGCCACGTGAACTTAACAAACGTCGTCTTCCTTTGTGCTAGTTTTATTCCTTTTCCTTTTCTTTTCCTACTTAATCAGCTTAGGCCAATTAATTATCAAACTGTTTTTTTGTACTATCAATACTAAGATAATATGATGAATTTTCGACGAAGTGTTTCATTTCCACTCTGACGTTCAAAAAAATTCTGGTCTACGTAGTCTAGTGTGTGTTTGTGTTTTTTGGGGGGGAGGGGTGTATAACACCTTTCATCAAAGTTTAGAATAGGAATTCTTTATCTAAGTAGAGCAAAGCGTAACTCGGCAAGAAGTAAAAGTAAAAAATATCACGGAATAGCCCTCTCGAGAAAGGTCATAGTTAAGTTATCGTAAATTGCAGTCATCTTTAAAAGCAGAAATTTGTTCCCGCAAAAAATCAAAAATCAAGTCAATTCGCAGAATATGACTACTGTACACTAACCCCCTGGGATAGAGAAAGTACCCCTCCGTCACCAGGGCCCGGTGGAAAGGAAACAAAAGAGCATGAATCTACTTACGCTCATTACAGTTAACACCATTCCATCCTTTACAACATCTTCTTACTCCTCTAAGTATCGATTTGGTCACTTGTCGGACCTCTGGTTCAAATACTACTCTGTACAGGGATGAGGTTGCATGAGTCAATGAATCAATGAATACGTTTATTTAAGATAACTGTAAAATGTCCACTAAATGACGGCATTAAAAGAAACTATTTTACTCATGGGTCTTATCATGCTAAGTATTACAAGGGACTAAGCAATCTCCTGTCCATGCAACTGAGAACTTTTAATATAGCAGCTTTATTTTAGATAGCCTGCGATAACATCCGTTTCTCCTCACTCTTCGCCGCTGTGGACGTTTCGCGCGGAGGAACGTCGCAGATGTTCGTACGCGCGAAACGTCCCCAGCGTTTTCGCAGGCTATATTTTAGATGCTCTTCGGTTAAAGTTTCAAATAACTGTGAACTAATCGGTTACAGATGCACATGTTCAGGTTGCTCTAAAACCAAGGCCTTAAAAGTATCCTTATAAACTCTGTAAATTATTTTTGAAGTAATCCAGTTTCTATTTACGAAATCTCTGACTGTAATTTATAGCTGTATCCTGCCGGGCAAAACGAAAATCCAGTTTACGGTTTCGTGGGATTTATGGCTTATCGTGATTATTCTTAAGTATATGAAACATAGGAAGATATAAAATTTTCTTTATCGCATCGTAAGGAGGTCAAACCCTAAGCTTAATTTAGAGATCTCTCTGACGGAGATTTTACCGCAGGATATGTGATCACTAAAATCTGATGTAATCAACTTAGGACGGAGATACTGAACCCGGACTTCAGTGTTTTACACGAGACGAGCTACTCTGAACTTTGGTCTGTAGAGACTTGTCTCCAGTAACTCGTTTTGACTAAGTGACAACAACTACTTTCCTTCGTTTACTGGGTGTTAAGCTTTATCAGTCTCCAGCAGGAAACTGTGGAGACTAAGAAAATCCTTTAAATGCCCAATGACTTACGCCTACCTCATTTTTTTTCTTGCTATGAATATTTCTTCGAAATTGTTTCCTGGTTAGTATATATGCAATCGAAAATGCACTTTATAATCTCGGAAACAAGTCACTGGCTTTGCGGTTGAGGAAAGCACAGGTCACATTTCTAAAGTTAGTTAACCAATTTCACCTGTACGTCTTAAGATAAGTAGAAGAGCTAATAAATTTAGTATTGCTGTCTTCCGGCTCTACAACCCAATAAAGGAGCAGCTATAAGCCTCTTGGCTGAAACTGAAACACAACGGTATCGCTTTGCAGGTATCTTACTCGACTCACGTGTAGCTTCTCCCACAATTTTCTTCTTAATACAGTTTAAAATTGAATATTTTTTGGCTGAATCCCTTCATCCCCATTTTACTTGTACTTGCATTTAGTTTCACTATTTTATACTTTAGTTCCTAATTTCTGGTTTAGCCTAGAATCAATTTATGACCTCTGCCGCGATGACCCGCCCAACAACAAAACTTTGTTCAACTCCGCATTCCTCATACCAACAAGATGTTTAGGAGTTCGCAGGGACCTGTTTTGTTTCCCTTCCTGTGGCCTGCGGATAAACCCAACCAACGATCCGTTGATCAGCTAATAAATATTTGTGTTACAAAACCGTCGGACCTTAACTTACAGTACAGACCGGCCATGAACTTCTTTAGGACGAGTCAAATATTCGCATAGTGGATAGAACGCTTTGAGTAAATATTTTGTACTAACTTTGCTGATAAAGGCAGATTCCGTCGCCTCACTGGGGTAGTGTGGGGGCATTAATTGCGCTATCATGATGGTAGAGTGGTTACCCTGTCTATTCGACCCGGAACAATAATGAACTGGCTTTATGAAAATTTCTAAAAGAGTGGCTCTTAAAGAATGACTTCTCAAGCTCTATCTAGACAAGTATTGCAAGTGCTAAGTCAATTATAAACCATATAACAGTTCATGATATCCAGTCACAGCCGCCATTTCGATTTGTGTTGAACGGACGAATTACCAGTGAATTTGTGTCATTACTAACAGTTGATAACGTTGGCTGCTTGTCGAGTGTGTGACTTTATGTAAGAATCCGTTTAACATCTCTACATAGCTTTGTCTTACCTATATTTTATGCATGGTTTGATTTTTTCGTCGCCCTCTGTGCATGGTACTTGAAACCTTTTCACAGTTCGTCTCTTGTAGTTCCGTGGAGTACGTATTGTATGGGGTTCAAAGTATTTGCAGAAGTGACCTTTATTTTCTTGGTATGACTTTGGCCCTGCGAGCTTGTCTAACTCATCCAAGCTTAGAAAATAAGACAAGTTAAATTGTTGTATTACTAAGTGTTTTCAATGTCTTCTTTTCGTAGATTCTATTTCTACTCACTCGCACCGTTTCCTGTAAGCTTTCCAAAACAAACAAACAAAGCCCAAATTCTGATTTCCTGAATTTTGTGTGAAAAGGTAATTGGCTAAATTAATAATCTATATTTTCTTTGTATCAAACAAATTGAAATATTGATCTCTTGCAGCAAATTGACACATACTCTGACCACTAAAGTGGTCTTCCATAAGTACTTCCTTACAGTCTTTGGGATTAAGAGGATAAGTCGTTCTGTAAATATTTTCCGAGGTTATATAAATACTTGCACGCTAGCAAGGCACGCGCTGGACGTTAATCGTATTAAATAAGAATACGAAAATCTGTTTATCTGTTTTTTGGGGGAACATGAAGAGGGGTTTGGTTGCTGCAATGTCTCTAAAAAAGCCTTCTCGATGTTCAAAGCACGTACCAGATCAGTGACAGGTAAAAGTATTACACATCAAATTAATGACATAGAAAAACAAGTTAATGATCGAGCGAGGGCTGCCGCAGGTAATTCTTCCAGCAATCTATTTGGTGCTTTCTTCGCTTGAAAAAAAGTTCTTGTACGTGTTTTCAGTGGATAAGGAGCTATCCGTAGTGGAAACGTGGGAGGGAAAAAGTGTTTGTGGGGGAGCGAAGGCAGTAATTCCACGGTCAAGCACACCGGGGTGTTTTTAAAGATGAATAAAATAGCTAATGTTTCGCGACTTTTGACTTTTTGCAACTCTTGGCGCCCCTACTTAACGGTAGCAACTAGTCTCCAATTCTAAAGAAATTCTAAGTAACATTCCTAAAACACTAGTAAATGGAGAGTATATTGATAAAGCATGGAAAAGTAAATATTTAAACCTCAGCTTTTGCAAACTGCAGCGAAGTAGTAAGTAAGTACAGTACTGTTCTCTAATTACTAAGAGAATTTGTTACATAGCCTAAGGATTTGCCTTTTGAGCCTTTTACTCAAATTACGTTGATGCGCTTGACGAGGTACTTGAATCCTACTTTACTAGCTACAAATGATTTCATATAAAAAGCAATATTATTCACTGAGGCGGAAGTATGTATACTTGGAAAGAAACTTCAAGGGGTATTAGTTCCCTTGACATCTTTGGAAGTGCTCAAAGTCGTGTACTTTAAAAATACATGTTGTGATACTCACAAATTCAAAACTTGGTCTTGCGAAGATGTTTGCCCAAATCCTATCTTGATAAGTAACAAGACCAATAGCCCACCGCAAACCGCAGGAAAAATAGGAACAGTTCTCATTTCCAGAAAAGAGACCTCTGGCGTGCGAACTGAACTGATGATAAATATTTATCAACGTAAAATATAAGCGTACACACCTTTTCACCAAGCGACTGTTTAACCAGAAGATCAGTATTTGTTACGGTGTAAAAAAAGGCTTGGAGAGTAACCTTTTTGAAATGCTACTCGGCCTTTCAAGAGAGATTTCTTTATATTTGATCTATCTCTCGTCCTATTGGAGGAAGGCCCATCTCCTCGCTAATCTCTCCTAATGAGCATGTCAGTTTTCCAAAGCAGTTTGGTTTCCGTTCCATTTGGAATGATAGGTATAATTTAGCATGATTGATTTCCATTTAAGGATATCTATTCGTCCTTTTTTGTATCTTTGTGTCGTTTTCAGGCTGCATTACTATCAATACATGCATTTACTGTCATGTTTACCTTTTTAGAATTGCCCGGCAGTTGATAGGGCAAAGATGATGCTGAGAATAAAATTTTCTTTATCACTATAGCATCCAAGGAGTTTCCTGTCTGTTCAACAATAAACAGAACAAGTTGCTGAGTCTTCCCACAGAAAAGGACTTACCATAGCCGACCTATATTCTCAAATTATTAAATAGTAGATTGCAGGTTTTTAGCGTTTTTAACATTATTTATCCTCCTTATTAAATACCCTGAAATACAAGCACCAGTTCGATAAGGATTCCAAACATTCAATAGCCCTTATATACCCCGATACCCTGACCATGCGGTCTACCTCTCAAACCTTCAAGTTCCCTCGTCTTCCATGTTTTAAAGTCAAACATGCATCAAAATAGAAACATTTTCCAGCATCGATCCCTATGTACGACTAAGGGGGGGGGCGGTGTGACATTCCATGTTGACGATTTCTTTAATAATAGCAGTAACAATACTAATACCAATGTTTGCACATGATTGGTTCACTGTTGGAGGGTTAGGCTTTAGTAAGTAAATTAAATGGTAAGGAAGGCTCCCC